AGTAAATTTATTCAATAAAATCGCCATTAGCTTCAACCACGGCCTCCAGCTTACTTTGGAATCTTCTGAAACTATCCGGACGATCTCTTTGTTGGTGGATGAGGCCATAATCCTTGCCTTTAGTTCATCTTTGGTGTTACAAGGAGCTTTCTTGGTTTCTCGCTCAGCTGCGCTTCACACTTAATAATCAAAGGAACTGTAGTCTGGGGAGTTAGGTGGCTAGAGGTTAGGGATGATTTGGCTACAGAAATTGTCTGACAGCTATAACTGGGTTCTCCTGCTTGTGCAGCATGGAGCAGAGTCATTTTGCCAGACATAGTGTCTTCTTGATTCAGGGCAGCACTACCACCACAAAGCACTTGATGTAGGTCTCTGTGTTAATTCTGAGATTCTGTTGGAAGATGAATTGAGGCATAACATTGCCATCACTGGTAATCACTCCAAACACCATGATGTTGACTGGATATATCATCCAACTCTTTCTGAATCCTCTGTACTGTCCTCAGATTAACACCCACACACTCTGAAATGTTCATATTGAAGATTCTGGCGCAAATTCCAAACAGTACAGCTTGCCGCTTCTAAATTCTGGCGGAGTGAATTGCATCATGGGACTCTTTTGTTCACAGACGGTGCCCAACTGACCGTATGACCAACTGACAGTGCAGTAGACAAATTCAAACACAAACAACGCGCATGCGCGAAATTAAAAATATAAAATGGCTACAATTTATCCATCACATTCTGTATGATGTACCTGTAATACTCGCTGTGGACGACACTTATTTACTTAAAATTTAAATCAAAACAAAAAGTGAAAAAATTAACTACCATGGAAGGAATCTACAAAAAGTCGAAGGAATATACATGACATGTTTTTTTTAATCGCCTCCTCCATAAGAAAAGCAATAAGGCCACTGAGACGCAGGCGGGGCGTAACGGGAGTGAAAGTGAATGAGAAAACTTTAATGAGGATTGGAGAGGAAAGGACAATAAAGACACAGTGTTCAGGAAGATGGATGATGGCGATTGACGTTGCATTTAAATGTTCGAAGATTGTAGGTGACAAGGAAGCAAAAGATCGGAAGAAAGTTCCACAGACGAGAAGTGTGAGAAAAGAATCTATTATAAGTCGCGGTTGCTTCTAGCTTGTTAAAGAGTAAAACCTTGAGACCAAGTTGCTAATCTAGTAGTACGTTCAAATTCATGTAGTCGATGGAGCAGGGAAATGAGCCGCTTCCTTATAAGGAAACATTCAGCATTCATTGACCGAACAGACAGTGCTAAACGAGTTACTCTTTTCTTCACTCACTAGGCATCGGGCTGGGATCAAAGTGTAGTATCTGTTCTGCACATTTCTAATGGTAATAGTGATATTAACCGTTTCCTTATAAGGAAACACTCGTTAATCGTTAATCAGCGAGTGCTGCTCGAGTTAAGCTTTTCTTTACTTCCTGGCTATCGGGCTGAGATAAATGTGTAGTATCAGTTCCTCTCATCTCCAACAGTAAAGAAAACATTTGGCATTTATTTATAGTGAATCAATTGCTAGCTATGCTGCTAGGGAAGTTGGATCAGTGTGTCGTGCCAGGAAATTTTTCTCCGAGCAGAGAGGATCCCCAGAGGAGGCTATGCCGAAGGGCAGAGTCTCGTCTCGGGAGACAGCCACACGACCCCATTTGACACGAGTTCTACGGAAATTTTTGGTTGAGCCTACGGGCTCGGATGCCCCACATTAAACCCGGCCTTGTGCCAAATTTGATCTCGTGGTGAGGTTAGTAAATATACTAGCTGGAATCATTTCCAAGTGTGCTGGTCGAACTCTCTGCCTTCGGGCAGAGAGGAACCCAGACGAGACGATGCCGAAGGGCAGTGTCTCGTCTGGGGTAGTAGACAGACTCGATCCCGTTTATGCGGGTTCTACGGGGATTTTTTGGCCGAGAATACGGGCTCGGGAACCCCATGTATTTAATTCAGCCTTGTGTCACATGTGACTGCGTGGGGCAGTTGCTAGATACCGTCTAGCTGGAATCTGTTGAATACAGACGCGAGAACTACCGACCTTCCAATAGCACTCACTACTGGATTGACTTGCGATGACTTTGTACAGAACTGTTACCTTATTGTACTGGATTTGTACAATAAACCATTACTTATTTTATCCACTTTGTTTTTAAGTATATATTCCTATTAGCAAAGAATATAACAGATTACTATCAGATCTTCTATTTGTACTACTCGAAATTTCAAAATTCAGATTTGAAATTCGTACCCGTTAGATTTCAGTTAAAAATATAAAAAAACATTTAAAAATATTTTTTCTTTGTTTCTTTATTTTTTATATCATTATACTTAATTTCATAATATATAGTTGAATTTATATATATATATATATATATATATATATATATATATATATACTAGCAGCATGGCCCGGCGTTGCCCGTGCTTGATTCAAAAATCGTACGACTCATACAGCAATCGCTATCACTTGACTTAAAATATTTTTGCCCTTCCTTGCTTTTAAAGGAGTGCCCTTTGCCGTGCTGATGTTGCTACATGCCTTACTTCTTGCCTATCTCACACTGCGATCTATACTAAACATTAAATCTGTTACGAAAAAAGAACTAAACAAAATGAACACAAAACGATCAGCTTTAAAAAAGAATCGTAACTGGAAAAGCCGAATGAAAAAAGAATGTTAACAACAAATACTTTTTCACATCCAACCCAGTTCTGCGGAATCAGAATCAATGTTGAGTTTAAGCAATCGAATGAGCCAATTGGAATAAAGTGCCATGCAGATTTTAATTTTTCCCACTTGGGACGAATGCAGCTATCGATTTTTTTTCGCATGCTAGCATGCTGGTTAACATTCGTGTCAGTCAGCTGTTGGCTCTCACGTTGGCCATTAGAATCTCCCTGCCTATTCGTGGCAGCCAGCTATTGGCTCTCACTCTGGCCAGTAGAAAATGGCCGCAAACTACATGAAAACTGCCGTAGAAGCATGAAAAAATCGATTATTTCCACTTACGATGGGAATTGGGAAATGCAAAGTCGGTCTTGATCTTCCCGCTAACTTGCAGCATGTGCATGTAAATTTTGGTGCGAATCCGTCGAAAATTGCGGCCGTGCATTCGTTACACACACACACACACACACACACATCCTGCCTTTTATATATATATATATATATATATATATATATATATATATATATATACATAGTGTATTGGGGCAGCAGATCATTATTCAAACATATATTGTTAAATATAACAGAAAATGAATGTCTATTATGTTTAATCATGAGCCATTCTAAACTTTGTATTGTTGCTTTAATTTCGGGTGAAAATAAAGACAAAAATTGTCCAACATTAAATAACCCATTGACGAAAACAATTTGCCCTAAAACAAAACCAATCCAAATTCATTTTTACCTATATATTTCTATTTATATGTATATATATATTTTTTCATATTTCACTTTTTGTGCGTGTATTCAAGTATGTGGATGTGAATATATACAAAAGTGGACATTGAAGTCACCACCCAGAGTCAATAGTCTGTTTCATACTAAACGCCATCGTTTAATAGTGCATACAAAATATTTCATATGCAAAAAATGGTAGCTACACTCCCTTTTAACCGTTACACATGACGTCACTTTGGATTGATTAAAACTTTCAGCATTCTATAAAATGCAAAGAGTCTTGCCTGAAACAACATATAATAATATTTCCATCCCTATAGCAAATTTGTTCCCAGTGAATACCTATAGTAAAATCGTTTCCAATGAATGTTTATAGTAAAATCATTTCCAAAGTATATCTAGTAAAATCGTTTCCAATGAATGACTATAGTAAAATCATTTCCAGTGCATTTCTATAGTAAATCGTTTCCAATGACTGTTTATAGTAATATTGTTTCTAATAAATGTCTGTAGTAAAATTATTTCCAATGCATTTCTATAGTAAAAATCGTTTCCAATGAATACTTGTAGTAAAATCGTTTCCAATGAATGCTTGTTGTAAAATCGTTTCCAATGAATGTATGTAGTAAAATCCTTTCTAATGAAGTCTATAGTAAAAGTTTTTTCCAATGAGTATCTGCAATAAAATTGTTTCCAATGAATATCTGCAATAATTTTTTTCCAATGAATGTCTATAGTAAAAACGTTTCCAGTGAATGTCTATAGTAATATACTTTCCAATGCATATCTATAGAAAATCGTTTGCAATGAATTTATATTTCTCTCAGACACTTTTTGTTATACAATAGGCATAATAATCTGAGTGACGTAATCCTTTAATAAATCCTGCATTCAACCATTTATTATAATAAAATAATTTACAACGGGTTAAAATATTAATAGGGTTAATATATTCTGCAGTCAATCATGTACTATTGTAAATTCAGTTCCAATTCGATCCTTTAGTAAAACCATTTGCAATGATTTCAAAATATCTTTTTAGTATTTACAGTTTTACAAGATAGAAATTTCATGATAGCATCGTTCCATCATCATCATCATCATCATCATCATCATCATCATCATCATCCAACCTAGATATGGCAGCAATTCTCCTGGTTTACTCTGATCTGACTCTTGTAAGGATATAGCATGGAAGAAGGGGGTCAGGTACATTCTGAAGCGGAATATGGAGCCGATTATTTCCTCCAGCGCGATGGATCGTATACACCAGTTCCACTTGAGGGTATGTAGTGAACATGTGACACCATAGACGCTCGAAGCGAGGAATCCCTTTGAGAGGGCAGCCATTCATTGGGATTAGAGAGAAATCGGGGCGTGCTTGATGAGGACAAACATTTTGGTTTCGATCGTTGAAATATATGGCAGAAGCTGGTTATGTGTCATTTGAGAGATTTTATTATAGACAAAAAACCAAAAAAAAAAACAAAAAAAAAACTACAACTATGAAAGTAAGAGATGTAGAAAAAATTAAAAGAAGCAGAAAAACATCGGTATTCCTCAAGCAAACCTGCATAAATGAAAAATCGATGATAGATATATAAGAATATGATTAGATAGATAGGAATATGATTAGATAGATAGATAGATAGATAGATAGATAGATAGATAGATAGATAACAAGCGACATAGATAGGAATAGACTTAGATAAGAATAAACTGTGGTAGATAGATAAGAATAGACATATATAGGGACTAAGATAAGAATAAACTGAGATAGATAGATAGATAGATAGATAGATAGATAGATAGATAGATAGATAGATACTATTCATGCTTTTCTTCCCTCTCATACCATAGTTGTTGACGAAAAATATGGACAAGTGACTCTGTGTCAAAACCACTCTCCCATAACTAACCGATCTGTCTTCGAATTTGAAACTATCCATGTTACATTCATCTACTATCCTTGGTAGGAGATCGGCGTGTGTGTGTCACTGGTCTGTGTATTTGGTATGTGCGTCACAGCATGTGTATTTATAACTCTCTGGGTGTGAACGCGTGTCTATGTGTGTGTGTGTGTGTGTGTGTGTGTGTGTGTGTGTGTGTGCACGCGTGCTCCCGCGTCTTCGCCAACCCATTCTTCTAATGCCTTTATCTGTGTCACTCTATAGCCTCCTATACTTCTCGTATTTACATTGTTGTACGGAGTCAAATTCAACCTCAAGTTCATTGTAAAACCTTTTACTTTCCGACACTCAACGAAATGATTTCGAAGCTACGCCTCATTTTCAACAACGAGGACAACAAAAAGTTTGAAAAAAAAAAATCCAATGTGAACAAAGCTAACTCGCGGTCGCATTCTTTACATTTTTTTACCTTTCGACACAGGATAAGAAAATTTAATTGCCTTTCTATCTCGTTCTTTTTTTGCCTTCTTTTTGTTTTTTAAACATTTTTTAATTCTTTTTTTTAACAAAGTTTTCTTGGCACATATCGCATCTTATATTTTTTTAGTGAACTCAACCAGCAAAATAAAGGTATGCCTTTTAACGCGACAAATACCTGTGGGTCATGACGCACTAAGCTTGACAATGTAATTTCATTAACTGATTTGTACTGTTTTTACTACGAAGAAAAATAGACCGGTGTGTCTGCCCGCAAATTAGCTACCAAAATAGCTACGCTTTAATTTATCTTTATCTGATACGCTTTGTTAAGTAGATTTTTTAATACTAATTTTCATCCAATACAAAGCCCAAGAGACATTTCGGATAGAGCGTTAATGTGTGGCGTTGAATAAGCGTAAGAAAAGGCAAAAAGTGAAGTTCATTGAAGGGGTCAATATTTTAGTGATTGGGAAAACATGGTGTCGGGAGTCTGTTCCACAAAGCAGCAGTTCTGGAACATTTTTATTATTCATGGAATACGAAAAAAAAATTGGCTGATTCGCCCTTGTGTACGTAACATTGTGGGACACAGATGAAAAGATCAGGGCTGGTGGGACGAAGGAATGTATCGCATCAGGATACATGCCATGGGGTTAGCTATAAAGCAGCGAGAGGCTCACGGCGTTTTGTCTGTGGAGAAAGAGGCTGTAGGGTGGAAAATAATTCTTCACCCACAAGGCCACATAGACGCTTTTGTACTCGCAAGTGAGGGCTGGGCATCTCCAGCTCAGATATAGCTGCAATGCAAAACTGAAAGAAGACCGTGAAGAGTCATGATCAGCTAAGCTCTGACGGGACATGACAATTTAAAATAAATATGTCTATTAAAATAACAGGAGAGAGTATGTTGATTTCATGACATATGTCTATTCATGACAAAGTAAACATAGCTCTTCACAGCTTCCTTTATGCCTGTTAATTACCGTTACTATCTGGGGGGACATGTAGTAATTGTGCGGAGACTAACGGGTATTGGTGTTGAAATTGTAATCTGTGAGCCAAGTCGAACTACCTTAGTTCATTTTTACATTTATGCTCTTGGGAAAGGCATGAACCCCTCAATCCGCCTCATTAATTATGGCTTATAAAGGTTAGTGTGTGCTCTTTAGCCTTGAGTGCCAACCAGTCTAGGAAAAGGAATAATCTGATGTATTTTAATTATTTATTTAAAAAATAGTGATTCAGTTCACCCAAACTGAAAATCAGACATTTGCAAAAATATTTGGACCTCACACTGCACTGGTGAAATCAAGTAGGTAATAATTTCAACTGAAACACATTCAGGTGCTTAATTATTCATTTTAAGCTGACCAATCAAATGAGACATCCTTAGTAAATTGGTTGGGCAACCCAGATTAAAAGAGAGGGGAAAACAGCTAAGCTACTATAATGCCTCACTCACTCCCTAATGAGCCAAATGATGATGGCTATTTTTGCCGAAACTAGTCGAGGAATCTAACTGAAATAATAATAAAAACGAAAGAATATTAATATAGAACCCAGTGTTCCTGAAGATTTTAATTTTTTAATATTTTTATTGTTCAATATATATATATATATATATATATATATATATATATATATATATATATATAATTACCACCTTAAAATATTGGAGTCCATATATATTTTATCTATGAAATCTTCACTTTGCAAACAAAAGGATTTTGTCTTTGGCCTCTAATTGATTTCCTTTTCATTTTTTGTTACATACACTCCATTCCTTTTATTGAAAATTTATACCTATATATTGATATAATTTAGCCTCAATTTAGCTCTGTTGAGCGAGGTTCGAAACAGGTTAGCTAGCTCGTTTTTCAGTTTTTCTATTAATTGTTATCACGTGTGGTAACATTAAAAATAAAATTTGTCTATTTATGCCGGTTATTAAGTATTGCAACACCAATAAAATGTTCACACATACACACACACACACACATATATATATATATATATATATATATATATATATATATATATATATATATATAGTTGGATTGATATGAGTTTGTTACCCTGGGTTTATTTGCAAACGTCATCGCAAATAGCATGAAACCCAGGGTCACAAACTCACATCAATCCAACTATATATGTTAGCTCTATCACTGATATTGAGCGCTTTCCAATAAGTACCTCGAATATATAATATATAAATAATATATATATAAAAATAGCATATATATATATATATATATATATATATATATATATATATGTGTGTGTGTGTGTGTGTGTGTGTGTGTTTGTGTGTGTGTGTGTGTGTGTGTGTGTAAGGTTTTTCGACGTAGCAAATTCTTATCAATATGCTTTAATTTTAAAGGCAGTGAAATCAAAAGGAAGATCAGGCCCATGCGCAAAAGATGTAAAAATTGAGAAACATATTGATAAAGTCAGTAGCTCACTGATTGCCGCATACTTACGCCATTTTGCTACATATATGCTTAGAAATCCTCCCAAGCACCTCTACGTAGGGTAATGGTTATCAAGCTTCCCTCACTAACTATATAAATTATAACTGAGTAGTGAGTGCAATACTTACTCCGTGCTCCATATTTTCGGCCTTGTGCCGCATCTAAGCTGCGCTTAGTAAATCGTTCTACATGAAGTTAACAGTTGAAAGACCTTAGCACAGAAATATTTATGCTTAAAAGAACTATAACGATTTCGATCACAGACCAAATGTATTTATTATTATTATTATTATTATTAAACGAGTTTCCTACTGAGTTTCCTGTAGAACCCATACATGCCCACCAGGTTCGTCAAATCTAAGAGGCTTTGTTGGTGGTGTGTAGAACCCGCAGACAGCATCTCCATCAGAGAAATATAATGCTCAACTCGAAAAAGGTATTACCTAACAAGAAAATGCATACAGACTTAGATGTAAATATTTTAGATACCTATCCCCAAACCAAAAATAATGTTTACAGACTGAAATAGTCATCACCGCCCACTCGCATCCGAGTATCGGTATCATCATCTTCTCTCCCTGTTCCCTTCCCTAACTCCCACCCACTGGTAGCGGAGATGGCTGTGAATCAGAATTTGACGACGTCATTCGTGGGAATTTAATTTTGGTGAACAACTTTGTGCGGCGTAGAAGCCCCGCACACCTGGCCAGAAGCGCCTCCCTCGCAACACAAAGGGGATTGAGACAGGCGAGATCTGGCAAACCTGGTTCATATCTGGCTGTCGGATGCTTCGTATGTCAAGGTCCGCCTTGGTTACGCCAGGCCGACGGGCGATGTCCTCTTCCGCCGTTTTGTCTTTTGACAGACTGAAATATAAACCACTGATACGTACCTAACCCGAACGAAGTAAGTGTGCAAAGACGCAACTCTAAACGACTATTTACCTACCTCGAACCAAGTAAATGTTTATAAGAGCAATTAAAAATTACTAATATTTACCTATCTGCCAAAAATGTAAATGCTTTATTGTGGTTTCCTCCCTCTAAAGAGTCTATGTTGGACTCTTCCGCCTACTATAAGATTAGAAGGAGAGAAGGCCTTGGGGGAACAGTCGAATAGATTGAATGCTGGATCAACCGACACACACTCACTAGTCGTGTAATACTCTTCTGTTGTACTTACTGTTTAATATATAATATATATGTAACATTGGTTTTGTTATTTCTTTAACCATTTACTTGGTCACATTTCGACTGTTCCCCTAAGGTCTTCTCTCCTACTAATCTTATAGTAGGCGGAAGAGTCCAAAAAGACTTTTTAGAGGGAGCACACCACAACATACTTTTAGACTCAGATATAAATAAAGGCTGATTCCATTAAATAACAGAACAGGAGTCGAGATGTAGTAAAATCAACGAACCAAATGATTACATCTGAACCTTGGGATGTAATAAGGCAGGGCTGTTAAATTCAAGATTATCCTTCCATTCGACCGGTTCATCTATCAAGAATAAAGAACCCAGTCTACCCTACATAGGTCCCTCTCTCTTTCTTTAAGTCGCTTCTTCAGAGAAGACAAATGTTTGGATTCTGGCATCAGCCTACCACGTGGGTCAATGGTAACCTCTTGGTGATCTTGTTTGGCGAAACCGGAGCGCCTTCACAAGCGCGTGAGACTGAAAGATTTCATTGGAGAACTTTCTTTTATATATATACATACATACATACATACATATATATATATATATATATATATATATATACATGGAGAAATATAGAATTAAAGTGTGCTATATTTATAGGATAAAGTGCTCAATATCAGAGATAGAGCGTATGTCAATATAAATATAAAAGTGAACACTGAAGTCAACACTCAGAGGCGACAGGCTGTTTCATGCTAGACACAATCATCATATATATACATATGTGATAGAATTTGAGACAATCCTAATTAAGTAATTCATCAAATCCAGA